TGAGAATATAATTATCATTGTGGGAATATTGGCACAGTTCCCCTGTTTCCTCACCCAGGAGTGCCATTATATAGATAGACATCCTTTAGGGGTTCAAAGTAGTAGTAGTATCATATTTTCATTTTATATTTTTTCCATTAGTATGTGCTTAGTGTACTAATTTATATAACTTTTACTTGCACATGAATGATTAAAAATATACTTAGAATATTAAGAAGTCTAACAATCATTCCACTGTGAATTCCTGTGAATATTTGCTGGGAAAAACTATAAATTAAATCCCATTTGTAACAGGTTATCCAGCTGAGAAATCGTGGTGGCCAGCTCTTTGCCTCATTGGTAAGGAAAGCAGGGGCAGCAGACCACATTGGACAGATGGTTGATAGGCAGAAGACCACCAAAAAACAGCCAAAGGTCCGACAGAGGGTAAGCCAGACCTCATGAGTTTTGTACTGGGGCATGGTTGTCTTTTGAATGTGAGTGCATTTACTTGTTTAGCATGGGGATTCCTGTGTGTTTTGTGAATGCATTGTTTACTTTGACCAAAATAGTTGTTTACATATGGGGCCAAGAATAATTTGTGAATTATTTTTTGTCTTTGTTTCATGATGCCGGTTTGACTTGAGCATTATTTGATTATGACCATGATACTCCATAAAGGAAGGGCCTTGAAGCTCTCAAAGAATGTATTTGTTTTATGCTGTGGTTTCCATTACAGTTAGCAACACTGCACTGAAATCTGTTTTGCCTGCATACTCCCAGAAGCTCTATTTTTAGTTGTCCTTGTTATTGTTATTAGGATTTATTGAATGAATTTATGGAATATATGAATGAATGGGAAGTGCATAGAGCGTACCGCCTCATTGAATATAGTAGTTTGATAGAGTAGTTAAAGACTTTATTTGAAGATTTAATAGATTAGAAAGGAGTATAGCTGAATGGGGGGAAGAAAATAGGGAATTGGATGAGAGAGATGCATATGAAATAAGTATGGCTGAGAGAAAGGTGAGCTGAGTTGGCCCGCAAAGATGTATTGTCAAACTGAAGAACTAAAAATTCTTATATAGATACCTATAAAATCTTTGGATAGCTAAGCAATGGTACTTACCTTGCATTTGATTGAAAAGTACTTGTATGGATCATATGTGATAAGATTTGCAAATGTTGAAGGCCAAAGGGTAGAGATAGAAAGAAGAAGTGTATCAGATAAAGAAACAGAGAAATTGAACTTGGCTGATCCAACTTTTAAGGAGAATGTGATGTTGGTTAACCCCTGTGTACTGGGCTTTGATTTCCGTATTAGTGCCCGGGGGCCGGGCTGGGCACTTTTTAGGGGGTGGGATCACACGTGGGCATCACTAGTGATGTCTAGCCATACATATGAGTATAAATTTCACTCATCACTACCTCTTTTCTGCTAGTGTGTATAGATATTTTTACAATTTTGTGTTCTTCATATGTTACATGATTGTGGTCTTGTATCATATTGTGTGTGTGTGTGTGTGTGTGTGTGTGTGTGTGTGTGTGTGTGTGTGTGTGTGTGTGTGTGTGTGTGTGTGTGTGTGTGTGTGTGTGTGTATAACTTGTGTACAGCACTTATCTGATGCAGCGGGCAGCGGCCGGCGCAGGCAGACTCCGGGCCAGCCACGCGCGCTGATTTTGTAGCCACCCGGAAACTTATATTCGGCTTCAAAATATACTGGTGGTAATGGGTTAAAGATAGCTAGATCCATAATGTGTGAATAATGATGATAAAAATAAATGAATTTGATTATTTATACATTTTAATTTATTGACTGAGAGGACAGAGAAAAGAGATTCTGGATAGAGAGAAAAAATTTACGTTGGTGCTGGATACATGCGCTGTCCACTGTGCACTATTTTTTCCTCAATTTTGTTTACACATACCTGGCTTCACAAGTGCTTAGTCACCAAGGATTCAATTAGTAGGCCTACCTGACCTTGTATAACTAATTATTTTAATAGCTTTTAGATTTTTTTTATCCAGTATTGTAATTTTTGTTATTAACATTATTATTGTTATTATTGATATTATTCTTGTTAGTGGTATTATTATTATAACCTCATGAGTAATACTGACAGTAAGTAAATGAAAGCTTCAAGAACAGTGTAAGAATGTGCGATCACATAGGCCCAGTAATTCACTCCTAGTTGACTAAGGCTTACAAAATCATCTTCATGTCAGTGGTTTAAGTAGAGGATAATCTGAGGTACAGATATTTAACATAGGAAGACATTATTCCAGGAGAGACAGTTTAGAGAGGGTTGACCTAGGTGTGAATTGAGTAAGAATGACGAGTGTGTGGTGGATTAGCGTTACATTTTTATCCTGTCAAATTGGGTGGTTCTGTATTTGTTGTTATTTGTTGTCTGTGAGGTGGGTTATGAGCATGGCATTAAATGAGGGAAATGCAATGAGCAGACCATTCACATTATTAGGCCATTCATGCTTTTGTTTGCTCATATTCTGCATATGATTTTGTAATCGCCAGTAATGTTAGGACTGTTTATTTTTTCATTCAGGGATGATAAGTATGTGATTTGCTTTTGTATTGTGAATACAATGTTTTTCCTTCTTTTCCCATCTCTAACCTCTCATGCACAACTTTTGTTTAGCAAAATTGAGATCAATTAGAAGTATTTTGGGATTTCCATTGTTTTGCTTTCATGTTGTATTTGTCATGATTCATATTGTATATTGTTTTAATATGTTTCTTTCATTTTATAATTTGAAAATAATCATTAATAAGATATTGAGAACCCTTTGTGCATGCTTCATCACATAGCCTTTTTTTTTTAGCTAATGAAATATTCCCCTTTGATTTGTCATTTTATGGCTTTTTTTTGTAAACCTCTCCCCTCCTTCACAGCCGGCACGTCACCCCAAAAGGCCATCTGCTTGGGTACCTCCGTCAGGTGCACGCAATGCTTCTTTTACTAAAAAGATAGAGCAGTCCTGGCAAGAGCCTTTCAAGCCTTATCCTGGTCCTAACTATGGCACATCCCGGCATGCCAACACAACACTAAGACAAAATTATACACAGCAAAGAACAAATCCATCATCTAATCCAGACCCAAAGCTTAATGACCCTAATACCAAGGCAAACAACCCCGCTACGAGACAACACAACCCGAGACGAGGTACCAAAACTCCATCTCCTGAACCGACGACCTCCTCTCCCAAACCCAGTAATAATGTGGGGAAGTCTGGACGCTATTACAACGACGGAAACTTTGTCTTTCCAAGGGCTGTGCGTAACAACCAGGATAAGCAGTATGCCCCTTACTTTGAGGTGAGGGACTGAGACTCATATACCCTGTCTGGCAATAGTACCCATTCAGTGGATAAGATATTAGTAGCTATTGCACAGAGAAATAAATGATCTGTAATGGTGATTGGTTGTAGAGTGGTTTATCTGCTCACAATTTCTTAAAGTGAAGCAGACTGACCTCAAGCAAGACTTGTGTGGTGAAAAACAGGAGGAGGAAGAGTTATGGATATCCTTCCACCTGCATATAAGACCAGATAGGAACATTTTATGTCAGTTTTCTTTGTGCTTTTTCCAATTATCTATGTTTCTGGATAGATAGTATTCATTGCTTGGATTTTCATATTTATCTTTAGTAACATCTAATATGTTCCCTTATGATGCTATAAGAGGCAATAGTTTTATTTTATCATTTGCAAGTCCTCCTGTGGTAAAGTTTCTCGGTTAATCACAGGTTGCATGGCTCGGTCAGTTTTATTGCATGGTAGATAATATTTTTAATAAGAATAGAGACCATGCTTTTGTCATTCATTAGATAATTTGTATAGATATGAAGTGTTATCAAAAAGTTCTTTATTATGCCTATAAGAATATAGATAGACAAAGCTGATTGAATTTTAGTTATCATTCTTTTCAAAGTAGTCACCTTTTGAAATGGCATCCTGTAAAATTATATATGTAAGAATGAAAACTTCATGGTACCTGACGCATTTTTTTATACATCTGATTTAATTGAAATGTGTCTTTAATGGTATTTCTACGTTATTCTTGATATTGTTATAGACACTGAAAATAGCTTGTGAATTATTTATTTCTTCATTATTTATGTCTCTGTTGTTTTATTCTATATATCTGACTATCTGTTATTCATTGGTCCACTTTAGTACATGTTGGACAATTTTGAAGTAGTATAATGGAAATTAGATTTTTTGCAATGTCATTTATATAGTTTGATTTTGATTATCATTATTATTTATTCACCTATATTTATTTATGTATTTATTTAATTTTTTTTTATTAATGTTTTTATTGTAATTATTTGTGGTATATTATGTGTTTGAGGGGTTGGCATACTTCCAGGGAATGCATACCTCAAGTTATGTCAGATACAATCAGCAATTTGCTCCACAGTCACCGTTCAGCATAACCCCGTGCTGCTGGGAAAATGTACCATTCACTTCAATTTTCTCAAGTAAAATGTCTTGATGCATATATGGCTCCACAAGTGCTCAGCGTCCAAGGATTCAGTCGTAGGCCTTTTGACTTCACCTGGTTTCCTCTTTCCTTGATTTATTTTTCTCTTTTAACTAATGCTATCAGTATTGATGCTGTTTATTTTATTATAGACACTATTATAATGTCATTAACATTACCAATGACATCAGAAAGCAAAGAAGAATGTTTCTAATAATCAAGGAAAAGTGTAAACAGGTGAGGTTGGTAGTACTAGTTATTGACTCCTTTGTGATTAAGTACTTGTGTAAAGGCTGTCAATAAAATAAACTCCCAGGGGATATGACATGACTGTACATGCCATCCCTGGTGGCATGGGGTTAAATTTCATCTAGGGGAGGATGAAATTGTAGTAGGAACTTTTTGATTCCACTTCGTAGATAAGAGAAGGCTTAAACTTGCCTGGGATTTTTTGTAGTTTGCTAAATAGTTGTATGAAATAACTTCATTCAGAATCCTTGATTTACAAAAAGAATAGTAAGAGTTTCTTGTTCAGTTATGGGATTTGTAATATGGAATTCTTTCGAGTTGAGATAGAAAAAAAATTTAGTTTGATATAGGAGTTTTTGATTAAAGTATTGCCTTAATAAGTGATAATTTTGACAAGAAAAATAAAATTAGCATAGGTGTTGACTTCACTTTTTTCCGTACAAGGTTCCTCCTCGCTTCAACAACAGTGTGAAGGGCAGTGAAGGTCAGCCTGGAGGCAAAACATACAAGCAGCTTTTAGAAGAGAGGGTGAAAGAGCTCAGCAACGATGATGAAGTTGTTGTGTTCCGCACAATCCCTTGGGGCAAGAAGAAACAGTTTTGGCTCTCTACTGTTACCGTATGTCGCACATTTGTTTTCTTTTTTTTTATAGTAATAATGGTTCACTTCTTATACGTTAAGGAGATGGTTTTAGTTCTTATTATATGATAAATAGTAGATCTGAGGTTGGGATACCAGAACCTATTATTACCCTGGTTTTTGTTTTTCTAGATCTTCAACAGGAAGGTGAGCAGTTTTCCAGAGGAGAAAGAGAAACCAGAGGATGCAGAAGAACTAGTGGCTAAGAATGCCCTGGAATTGCTGCGGCAAATGAACAAACCTGACCTGCCTGTTCAAAAAAACATGGATATATCGGTTCCTAGGGTCAAGGAGGTAAACATGTTTGTTTTTCTTTCCAAGAAGATATATTTTCAAATGCTTATTAAGTCTGCACAGCTCAAAACTAATGATCTTACACTAAAGTAAAGTTATTTCTATAAATATTATATATATATAATTTTGTCCAATTATTTTTATTAACCCCTACAATCAGGATGATGTGTCCAATTTGGTTTAAGGGCTGGGTGACGTGAACATCTGTCATGGGAAAATTTGGCTATGGTCCAGTCTGACATGAACTTGCTGTCGTTAGCATTTTGGCTGAAAGCCAGGATAACAAAGAACTTGCCACAAATGCACAAATCTCTTGAAGGGTGATTTGACGCATTTGGTAGAAAAGGGCTTTTGCATTATTTCCATAGTTAAAATGAGTGGAATGTAGTAACGTATGTGAGCCATGACCATAAGAGCACTTGCTCTAGGGAAGATGCTATTTCCATGCTTGGTATCCTATTCCTGGCTGCTGTGACCAGGGGCACAGCCTGTATCCTGGTCACGGCAGGGGCACAACAGGTTGTGCCGCTGAAAATTGAATATTAGGGGGGAAAATTTAATTATTGTTATTACTCTTGCACTGATTTATTGGCTACATAAAAGATGATATGGAGTGTGTGCAAGATGGACATTGGAAAATGGCAAAACAGCTAAAAGTGCTGATGCAGAAAGAGGGAAAATAACATGCAGAGGGAAGGCATAGAGTCATGTCACAGCACAGGAGTGTTCACGTACGCCCTGCCCATAAGCCACACACACATCTGTGGGGTGGATCAAGTAAGCCTAATGGCTCTATTTTTTTTATTTTGCATCCATATCCAATGAGTTAATACTATTTGATATTTGAATTTATATTGAAGATTAATAGGAGAGAAGTCTTACACCATGTTCATGACAGCTACAAGGCAAAGATCCTTATATTATTTTGAAGGTTATGTTAATTCTTATATTTTGAAGTTGATGTATTTTATCTATTTGTTAATTTTATTCATTTTTAAATACTACTTGTCATTTTGAAATGAATTTTGTGTTTGACATATTATTTGTGACAAATTGAATTAACTGAAGGCTTTGTAGTGATGCTTGTTAAGACTACTAAAATGTGAATTGGTCACAGCAAAAACTAATATGTAGATAATTGGGATTATTCAGAAAGATCTCTGACAGTCTAGGAACTGTATATATGATTATATTTAATGATAAAGTTAAGTCAGGTATATATATTAAAAAAAATTTATAATGTTTCTTGGGTCTCTGCAAGTGTTTATGAATGATGTTTATGATCAGAGACTGAAATATGATCATTGATTATAGCTCAATATGTTTACAGGGAAGCTTCAAAAAGTTTTGTTTTTGGGATACGATCTCTGAGTACATAGGTGAAGGTTCAGATAGGAAACAGGCCTAGACTAATAGTTTTATTTAGAAAGCATTATTATTTTGCCACATTGTATTATTAGGAAGTGCACTATGGTTGCTTAGCACAAGCTGTAGTGTTTTCTTTTATGCAAAAGTTTTATGGCTTCAGTGTAGGTTTCATTACAGACATGCCTATGTATGCAGGGATATGTAGTAAATGTGTGTTTATATACATGTATGAATGTGTCTCCTTAGCTTTCAAAAATCTGGTAATATCCAGCTGACAGGTCTGCAAACATCATGCGACTGTAGAATTATGAGTAGAGGGAGGATGATGAGTACATGTGTGCATTTGCAATTATTTAGACAAAGTGCGCATGCGTGCATGTACACAGACACACACACAGACACACACACACCACACACACAACACACCACACACACACACACACACACACACACACACACACACACACACACACACACACACACACACACACACACACACACAGACAGACAGACAGACAGACAGACAGACAGACAGACACACACACACACACACAGACACACATACAAGCACACACGCACGCATGCACGCACACACACGCACACGCACTCGCACTCGCACTCGCACTCACACTCACACTCACACTCACACACACACACACACACACACACACACACACACACACACACACACACACACACACACACACACACACACACACACACACACACACACACACACACACACACACACACACACACACACACACACACACACACAAGGACACAGATATAAATATGTACATATATACACAAATACACATGTATACACACATACACGTGTGTGTGTGTTTGTGTGTGTGTGTGTGTGTGTTTTGTTATGGATATAGACATAGATAGGTATATATATATATAAATGGATAGGTAGGTAGATGATAGATGATTGATAGATTGATTAATGGATAGATAGATAGATAGATATATATATAGATAGATATATCCTCAGAAAGCCTACCCTTCATGAAGGGCGTGTGTATACGCTTCATGACTCGCTCCAATGAGGGAGCAAGAAGGGCTGGCTTTACACAGTGAATGCAGTGCCTGTAGTCAACGGAATAAGTGCCACAGAAAATTCTGACATGGCAGTGTAGATATAGATATAGATATATATTAATAGAGAGATATATAGATATAGGTATTATTTACATGGTTGGATATGTTTGTTTGCATGTATGTACTCGGTGTGTGTGGAGGGGTTGGGGTTGCGTGTGTGTGTGCGTGCATTCATTGATATACCAGCATGCTTGTGTGTCTATCCTTGTATGCATGTGTGAGGTCATGATTGTGTGGTATAAGACTACTCTGTGTATGCATTTGTGTGTTTATTCAGAATTATACATATATAAAAGTATGTATTATGCACTGTAAATGTTTGTGCAGCGTTTATCTCTACATTGTAGTATGTGTATCCTTGTATGACATAAGCACATGGACATACATCTGCCCCTAAGCAACACACATGGATCCTCCCAGTGCATACTTATCTGCAATCATAGAAATTTCCATACATACTTGTATACAAACATACAGATGTATGTACATATGGACATAGATACTTAAGTATTCACATACGTACATGTATACATATGTACATACATACTTATATGTATATGTAGTACATGTATACTTATGTGTATACGTATGTAAATACATACTTTCATCTATACATATGTACATACTTACATGTATATGTATGTATGTATGCACATACATACATACATGTGTGTATAATATGTATATACATATGTATACACATATGCATGTAGACATACATATGTACATGCATACATACATATGTTTGGACATATATATGTGCATTTGTATACACATACAAGTACACACAAACATATGTATACATACATACATACAGACAGAGAGACATGCATTCCAATATGCATATTTACATTTATACTAATATACATCCATACTTATTTACATACATATTTATTTATGTACATACTTATTTACATACATATTTATTTATGTACATACTTATTTACATACATATTTATTTATGTACATACTTATTTACATACATATGTATTTATGTACATACTTATTTACATATCTACCTATGTGCACAGATACATATATACATACATACTTGCACATATGTACTGATGTGCATAGATCCATCCATCCATCCATCCATCCATCCATCCATCCATCCATCCATCCATCCATCCATCCATCCATCCATCCATCCATCCATCCATCCATCCATCCATCCATCCATCCATCCATCCATCTATCTATCCACCCATCCATCCATCCATCCATCTATCTATCCATCCACCCCTTCATTCATCTATCCCTCCCTCCATCCATCCATCCATCCATCCATCCATCCATCCATCCATCCATCCATCCATCCATCCATCCATCCATTCATCAATCCTTACATGCATACATGAATACCTACATGTGTTGAAATATACTTTCAGACATGCACACACGCACGTTAGTATGCAATTACATGCACATATGCACAAAACAAACATGTATGCTTATGGATCATGTTACTATAGTAGGTAGGTTCGTATTTGTAGTTAGTACATATACTAATTAGGTAAACACTTGGATTCAAGATCTTTTGATTGTTTTTAATACAACAGAAAAGATAATTCAAGTGGGAAAAAATGGTCTGGATACAAAGTTGAACCGCCAAGTGATTTTGTAAATTATTTTCATGTTTGTTTTTATTTTATGTTATGTTTTTTTTTATGATTACAATTGGTTGGGATTATTAAACATGGAAAATAAGATAACAATTCACCTCATGTGTGGTGCTTTCTCTCAGTTATTGGCAGAGCAGAATTCAGACATCCTGTGGTGGGTACATGTGCGGGAACTTTATCAGAATCGGTACCAAGAGATACTGCCTGAGAATTGGATAAAAAGTGTTGACC